TGGTCAGAGCGCGCTTCTTTCCAGGCTCCGCTGTCTTGCCGGCTGGTGCCAGCTTGCTAACACCGAAAGCTTGAACCCAGTCATCACTTCAGCATGGTTCTTTCGAGTTCAACTTTGTCGCTACCTAGCATGAGATGCAGCTGGAAGGTCTTGGATCGATACATGCTTTGTCGTCCCTAATCTCCACTTGGGAAAAGATAGCTTTGAGGGGCTTGGATATGCCGTCCAGTGTTATGGACACGGGGCCCTTAATCCATAGGTTAGGTCCTGTCACAATGTCCAGCGGATCAATGTTTCGGCCGAGTCATCGGATGCGACGATATAATGGCCAACCTTTCTATCTGTTCAGACTGTTTTCAACATGCTAGTTTCTGCAATGACACATCGCCGAGAACCACTGCAGCTTGCATGCACTTGTTTTTCAGTACACTGGGTCGCTTACATCAACTTCATCGTTGCAAAAACCATATGGTGCTCAGAATACGTGGCTAGGTACCTTAGTTGATATTGGTAGATATGATCATGCCCAAGTTCGACCATGAAAATATCACCAGGGCTCGAGAAACTTCAATCAGGGTTGTGAAAAGCTGCTTTTCTCTGCATTCCTTACCGGACAGGGTATCCATGATGGACTGATGGGCAATCTGTCAAGTGAGATCTGTTTGGCTTCAAGCATGGTTTCGGGAGCTACCTTTTCCAGCTCCGCCAGTGCCTTGGCTAGGAACCATGGAGGATTTCATTGAGTAAGAGCCGCAAACCATCGTTCGCATTCCTTGTCTTTCCATAAGAAGCAGGCTTCTCGAAGGTGTCGGCCCCAGTCCCAAACCCACGACTGCTAAATAGGGCGTGGAGAGACCGGAAACACGTCTGCGCTGGTCGTCCTGCGGGAGGCCCGCCGGACCTGCAGATGGATGGATCCCCAAGACCATCCACTCTGGCGCGAACTCGCCATGCGCAATTGCGCAACCCAACGATGGCCGCATGAGGCCAGTGCAGGGGGGTGCCAGCGCGGTGAGACTAGAGAATGGGGGTACTATGCCCTAACGCAGGCGGCGGAACGAAGGAAGACGATATGCATCGTGGAAAAATTCGTCGCGGCAACGAGAGGGATGGGCAGCAGCAGCCGCCGCCAGCAGAGTAAGATAGATGGATGGTCGGACGGACAGTCTTCATGGCGGCCCAACCCACCAGTCTATTCGCCGAGGGACGGACCGAGAGCTGTCGTCCCCGTTCCCGGTTCCTACCCCGTCGTCCGAGTGTCATCCGTCAGTCAACTGAAATACGTAGTACGGATACGTATTCATGGTTTGACGATGTTGTTCAGGCCAGGACGATGGGCTGGATTGGGTTGGGTAAGGGATCTTCTTCCTCAGCAAGGAATGGAAAAAGGCTAAGAAGAGGGGCCGTCAGCATTGGGTGACAGGGGTCAGTCGCCATTAATCATAGCGACGGGAGTGCCTACGTACCTTTACACATCCTCCGACGTGATGATTATCCAAACATGGAAAGATGACCTGGCTCCAATGGCTGGAGACTTGGGAAACGAGACACTGGAAAGGAAGGCAATTGCAAGCTTAAACGTGGCGTAGTGAATTGCCGTCAGCTCAAGTTACACCACGTCGAGGCCCGACGCGAAGGGACCGTTGCCGTTGCCGTTGCCGTTGCTCTTGCCGTTGCGGCTGCCCTCAGTCTCCCGTCTACACCAGAAAAGGAAGTCGAGACAGACCGAGACACCTTCTAGAAACCGCTCCCCAGATGTTGCGGCGCTCCTTCTTTCCTTCCACTCGGACGCCAGAAATCTGCGTGTATTCCTCCTGACCGCCTTCATGTTCTTTTTCCTCTTTCTCTCTCTGCAAAGCTCCCTCTGCCTCTCCACACGAATCCCACTCAGCCACCTCACCCCTCACCTCTGATTTTTTTTTTCGTCCCTCTCGCTGATGGTGGTGGTGGTGCATTGTATTAGCTGCTGCAAGTGCTGCAAGTCCCAGCTGCAACACGACCGAAAAACCTGCACGACGATTGGGAACAGCGCCATCGCAGTCGACCCTCCGTCCCCGACTCGAACCCTCGTTCATTGGGCACAAGTGCTGCTACCCAGCCTACCCTTTTTCCAACCTGTCTGTATCTAATCTATTTTTCCCAGTCGTTTGTTTCGCTCGTCTCCATACCGTCGGTCCAATGCCCATCACGTCCCGCTTGTGGCTAAATCCTGTGACGCCGCTTTCCCTGTCACTGGAGACTGCGGGAAGCAGATAGCCTCACCGATGAATTCGCTCAGCGCGTCTCTTCCAGACGTTGACCGAGCAAGCTGCCAAGGACACGAGTCGTCAACATGAGCATTGGACACATGTCTTTTTGGGCTTCGAGGGTTGAGGCCCGCTGCCCGCTACAATGCCACTGCTGCTACGGATACATCCCACGACATGGGAATACACTGCAGCAGGCGACGCACTAACAGTAGCTGCGTCCCGATAAGGCCAATGGCCATGATGCCGGCCGTTAATGTGTGGCGTCGATAGGGCCAGAGGCGGACAACGGAAAGCCTCAGACACACTCGACAATTCGAAGGAGCCTCGAACCAAAGATATTGTCAAGTTGTCAAGCCGAAAAAAAAGTAACAAGAAATCGTCAATGGTTCGGCGATCCGGCCACCAGTACAACGATCTACTCTTCCCCTCCACACCTCTCGCCCCTCCAGTTACCCCTCCCTCCACTCCGTCCCGGTCCTCTCCCTCTCACTCTCGAGACTCGATTGGATGTCTTCCCGCAGTCCGTCTCCCCCAATCCAGCCCAGTCCAGCCGACCAACCAGTCATCCAGTCTGGGCCCCCAGCATGCAAGCCTAGCAAACTCGCAAGAACCCGCCGCTGCGGCATACGCAAATGCGTGAGGGCACACCATACGCCGTGACGCCCACACACATGCCAATTTTCTCTCAATTGCGGGATACACACGGCTTGACGGGTAGACCAGGGAGTCCTGGAGCATTGCTGCCCAAAGGCTCGAACTTGCGTTGCGGCGCCCCGCGAGACTGCGCAAGAGAGGGACCACCACCGGCCACGCCCACGCCCACGTCCAACCCCAACCGCCGGTCACGCACAACACTTTGCAACGAGAACTTTTTTCCCATTTCTTTGTACTTCTGATAGGAAGACCGGCGAGAGACGAAAGGCCCGTTACAGGCATTTTGCGATACGTACCATCTGCAGCAAAATATGGGGGACCACCAGAGGCGCCAACAGACCCAGCAGCAGAAGGACCATGACCAGCACCCACCAAACCAAGAGAGAGGCTCATCTGCCCACCGCCGGCTGGCTGGCTGGCCACTGGATCCTCCGACTTCTTGCTGCATGGCATGGCATGGCATGGACATGGTACGGCTGCAGTGAGCGCACATGTGCGATGATTCTTTTTAAATTCTTAATCCTCCTCTGTCCCACGCCCTCGAGGAATTCTCTTCTCTTTTTCCCTTTCTCCTTCGTCGTTGACACATGTCTACCTCCCCCGGACCGTCGCCATCTGCTATTACACTTGCGATTCCGCGTCTCGTCCCCTTTGCTTGGTCAGTCGAAGACTGAACGACAGATAGCATAAAGGGGCAATCCGTGAGAAAACACGGATTATATCAGCCATACCTATAAGACCGGACGTCCTGGTTGCGCCATCGAAGCCGCCCGGCCTATCACGGAACAACCAGCACCCCTCTGCGAGTCGATTCAGCCATCGAGGAGACACCGAACGCCGTGAGACTCCTTCTCACACCCCGGTAGCTCGGACGTCCATATCCATCGCCATTCACGGCTGGAATCCAGGAATTATAGAACAGATCCCCTTTGGCGGTCCGTCTGCTGGCTCTCATTCCGCTTGAGGCGCCTACTCAGCAGCTACAAGCAGACCCTCAGGTTTCGGCAATCTTGCATCCCGCGCAGCGCCCATTACTCGGCACTGAGTTGCTATCTTGGTTTCCTTCTTGTCATCTAGTACTGCCTCTTGCGGTATTCATCCCACCCTCCGACATAACAACTCACATCCGACAAATTCCAGAGCTGTTGCTTTACCCGGGTCCCCCACGCTTGTCTTCGACACTTTCCCCAATTAGTTTCATCCAATTACCTTGTTCAAGGCCATCATCGGAGCTCGCCTTGACCATACCATTGCTTTTGCTCGCGTGCACATAGCACTGCTGCTTCTCTCCTCTCTCGTCAGCCATTTCGCGCTGCTTTACTGCAACCTTCTGAACAAGGACCAGCCCTTGTCGCCCAGGACGAAGGCCGTCCTATCGTCACCGCCCGCCCGATTTTCGTTGTCCCCACAGCCGGGATCCCGCACCTTGTTCCCCGAAACATTCCTCTCCGTTTCTCTGCCTCTGTCTCTCTCGGGGGCCAGCGACCAGGACTGAGACGTGGGACTGGGATTCGAGGGACCATCTTCGGCGCCGCCAATCGTTCGTCCGCCATTGGCACTTTGCACCCATTCCACAAAGGCGCATCCCGTGCTCTCCAGGCGCAATCCGGACATCCAGCAGCGCCCTGCTCCCTCTTCTCGAATTTCCCCCGAGATCTATCATGACAACCTATAGCGACCAACGAATATCCTCTTCTCCTTGTCGGAGGTTTCTACTTTGGGTGTTGACGCCTTGACTTGTTACAACTTGCTCACTGTCACTCTCACCACACCTACTCACCGCACATCCACACCACATCAACCGCACCTCCATCTACCGGCCATCGCTAGCGGGAAGCTGATCTGATCCATCCCATTTCCCCCGCCAATTCCCTTCTTCCCCACACCAACGACCAAAAAAAGGCCCAGTCCCCAACTAGAGGCCCCGATCCGTGAGATCAACACCCAGAAGAAAAAAAGACTGCCGGGACGGCGATCTCTCACAACGGTCCTCGAACCCTCAGCATCGCGACCTCCTCATCAAATAACCTCAATTGCATTTGGTCAGGCTGCGTCAACGATATGCCATCACGCAGGACACGGCCATCAACGCCCAGCATGATGCTGGGTCCTCTCGGGGGCCCGAACTCACCGCCCCATTCTCCTACCTCCGCCGCGCCGGCGATGCTTCAACATAAGTACGCCGCTCGCCATTTGCCACCGTCCGGTATTCAGCCCACAGGCAACGGCCATCAATTCAGCTTTACTCCTTCCAATCGCTTTGCACAGCTATCACCTCGCACGTCATCTGAAGATTCCGACGAAGAATCCGAATCCGAATCCGACTCTGATGAGAGCGAACTTCCACAAGCACCTCAGGCAAAATCTGAGGATGAAGAGGATGATAGCGACGACGAAGAAAGTGAAGACGATAGCGATGATGATGCAGACGATGAAGACGAGGACGTGCCCATGATGGCTCCTCCTCCTCCTCCAGCTCTCATGTCAGCTCCAATGCGGGCACCAATACGAGCACCTTCGCGCCCGCCATTGCACCAGAGCATGGCTGTCGACAGCAGTTCCGAAGAGGAGTCGGACGATGAGGAAGACGAAGAAGACGAAGAAGGAGACGATGAAGAGTCCGAAGAGGATTCGGAATCTTCAGACTCTGACTCGGAAATGCTGCCTCACGCCCCAGAAGCGCCCCCGATTCCCCGCCCGGCCCCCGCCGCCGTCGCTGCTGCTGCATCAGTCGCAGCACCAGCGCTGCACGTGAAGGCGAACTTCACCGTCGAAGAAATGTCTGACTTCGATCCCATGGACCAAGATCGCGACGGAATCATGGCGCCTTCGGGCTACTCCTCTCCAGCGTCCGCCCGCTCCCGCTCCCGCGCTCCGGTTGCCGCTCCGAAGCCCGACCCGACTTCCCGGTTGGCACGAGAATTTGACCACCTCAACTTTCCCAGCTCGGACTCAGAATCCGAGGATCTGGATGCAGACGAGGCACATGAAGAATTCATTCGTGTGCAGCGCACATTGCGGATGCTCAGGCGCCGAACTCACGGGTCAAGCATTGGCAAGCGGACCATATCGGAGCGCAGCGAATCTGATCACGAGGATATGCCTCTCGACCCCGACGCCGTAGGCTCCAGCGCAAGGAGACTACGACGCCGTGTGGGTGATCAATCAGTCCGCCGGAGCTTCATCTTGCAATTCCAAGACCCCCCGCCCCCGCGCATCGACGAACTCGACGAGCCGGATAGCGAGGTGGAGGGAATCTTTTTTTGCGATCACGAGACACTCGCGAGGGAATTGCCGTATTATTCCATTGAGATCATTGAGTATGAGTCTCCCAGCCCAACCAGCCCTCGCAGCCCGTGAACAACATCCGTTTTGGCACGCGATATATATACGTTTAGCACCCAAAACGGTGCATCACATTCAGTCGGACGCTATCAGACCGACGCAAACAATGATATACCTACAATGAACATGCCGGGATAGAATGACGAACAACAACGACGATGATGACGGAATGACGCAAGGTCTCAATGACATTGTTTTTATCTTTCTCCGATGTTTCTCTTGCTCTGGCACCAAAGATTATCGATACCTTTCACGATACTTAGACGTTTTTTGCATCGGAAGGACACACAACAGCGCGGAGTAGCATGTTCTGCATGAAGGATGTTTTTTTTCATGATAGAAACGGTATACGTAGAAGAGCCTCATGGTTCTGATGAAATGAATGCCCATGGAAATTTTACCACATGTCTTGACCCTCCCCATCCGCCGTAGCCTTGTGAGGACGACTGCCGAGTCTAACGTCCAGCTCAGCCACCTGAAGCTATCGAAACGTTTCCCGAAGTCCGGTGGTGTCCAGACCGGGCGCGCGGGGGAGGTGGGTGGAGGCGAAAAAATGGCGGCGTTATCTAGGCGGTGTGTTTTATGGTGGGAGGGACGGTCGGGGTGAGTGGTCGATGACGTGCAGCGGATCAGCGTAGCGTAGCGGGATGGATGGCGAAGGGAAGGGAACATGTGTTTGTGCGTGTGTGTGTGAGCGTGTGTTGTGCAGTGGCTATCTGGGCTCTGCTAAGGCGATTTCCACTCACACCTAGACCTGCGCGGAACGGCGAGAACCATCCGGCTTGGGAGGGCACGGGAGGGGAGAACGGACATTGGACAGGCTGGTATCTGATTGGCTTTGAGAATTCTCGGTGACGGGAGGTGATTCTACTGGATGTCTGTCTGGCTGTGTAATGATTCGAGACCGCGGGATGCAGGCGAGAGGGGCTTTCTTTCGGGGGCCGGGCGAGTTGGAGATGGGGGGGAGCCACAGTCAGCACGTGTTTGTTGACGAATGCTGGAGCAGGCTCTCGAATCGTACGCTACGAAACTAAGACACCGTAAGATTCTGTAGGTGTGCAGCGTGTACATGAGATTGTTTACATTGCTGACGATTGTGGATGATGGGAGTGGGTGGGTGAGGGCCATTCGGAGCTGGCGGAAGAGGAGGGAGGTTCGGGTTCTGGGGCCGTGGTGCGGAAACGGCGGTCTGGTGCTGGCGGACTGGGGACGTGTGGGGCTGCGGGCTCGGGGGGCCACGGGAGGAGGCGGTCGGGGAGGCGGGATATGGGGAAGGGACAACGTGGGATTGGGGGTTTGGGGGCTTGTTTGGTGACGTGTATAGGGGGAGAAAGTCTAGAACTTTGACCCTTGGGTGATGCGGTGTGTTGTGTTGTGTGGTTGTTTGTGTTTTGGCTTGGCGTGAGGTGGTCTCGACAACATTAAGCTGGTGTCATGCAGGAGTGCATCTAGCGGGAGTGGCTCGGGTTCCGGGAACCGCTGGATGAACTGGCAGTATAAAGTCCTTCACGATAGCCACTAAAATCGATCTTGTAAACCAGAACGAATTTTGTCTTGTGCAGCTTCTTAGTGGTTTTCTCTCTAAAAGATTCGTTGCGAACACAGGCCAGATCTACGAAGGTGTGCCGCGCATGCAAGCCAGTTGAAGTTGACGACGGGATTCTTGCATCTATCTTGGCTTTTTGATGTATCCGTGTGGTATTCGAGTCTTCCATGCCTCAAACCTGATCGACGAAAGAGGACAGAGACTGAATCTGACATGTACCTTGGCTATCCTCAGTCGTGTCTACAGAACGACGCTGCCACGTTTGAGAGCATGAACCCTTGTTTCATTTCATCCTGGAATTCATCTGTGATATGGACGATAGATTTTGGTCATGATTTGGAAACAACGCGAGGACGGGCCTCTTAAACTATGCATCCGGTCCTGAGGCTGGCTGTTACGCTGACTTCAAGCAAAACCCAAGTCGTTTTTGACAATATTTAAGCCTCCTTTCCATCACAGAAGCATAGGAAAGACAGGCCACAATGTCGCTTGCTTGTTTACACTGGTTTTCAATTGACACTCCACAAAGCTTGCGGTCCAATTGAACTAAAGCATCGGTTTCGTGGACCTGTATATGGTGTAGCAACAGTAGCATTCATCATTGCCTTTGGTAAGGTATTGCTTACCTATGCAGTTCCAATAGCCGAGGAGAGACGACCATAAAGGCTGCTGAGAGACTTGGTTTTCAAATTTGAACGTCCAGAAAGGGGCGTCATGACTAACGTATGATGGGATTCTAGACGGAAAATCGGGTGAGAGTGTTGATAATCTGATACCCAAAGATGGCACCCTACACCATCACTCTTGGCGTCCGAAACTTCCGCTCATCGGCAAATAAATCAATTTATACTTCCTACGTAGTAGCACAGTGTTTCTTGCTAATGTTGGGAACAGCTGAAGATGCTTGTGCATGGGCCAGGAGGCGTCCAAGCTCTCTGGGACATGCCAAAAACGGGTATAATACGTGACCCCTGTGGCAGGAGATGTTGAAGAACGCAAATTAGGTTCTACCAGCAGACCTTCTTCTGATGTCGGCAGCGAACTCAGCTCTAGGCGGTTAGAGATTCGATTCTAGGGATTCAGGTACTCTGAGATCATTCATCAAGCGCTTGCCAGCATACAACACTGTTCCTGTCTTTAATCTTGATCCGAGGTTGATTCCAGGGAGTATTCTTTTCAAAAAGGACGTCTACACCAGTGACCAGACCGTCGATTGGATGACTACTGCAGACTAAAAGGAATTATGAGAGGTACACTCCATGGCAGCAGCGCATCCCTGGTGAGCTGAACAAGGGCCCAAATCGCCGCGGAAGAATCTCACACTAACATAGGAGTTTCTATTCCTAGGCGACACGCCGGTGCCTGAGTAGTAGATGAAGTATGAGCGGCGTTGTGTGAAGGAGTTGCGCGAGACGCTGGGGTTGGTAAAAATCGCAGCAGGGCACGTGAAGGTAGCTGTCGCCGTAATTGTATGCCGTAACTGTATGTTGGATTGTGATGGGCGGAACCGCGGTACAGGAGCCGCTGACCGTGACCGGGGAAGTGAGGGTGGTTGTGACTAGGGAGTTGAGGGTCGTCGTGACTGCGGGAAGGGTAATAGTCGCTGTCGCGGCAGAACAGTCGGCTGCAAATCCGAGAGCGGAGGCTACCACCGCGAAAAGAGCAGACATGATATCGGACGCAGTGGCTGTGCATAGCGACAAGTGGAAGCCTGTAGCCGAATGACTTCCTTGAGTTGGTAAAGTGCAGCGTTTTGTGTGGGTATGCTTCTATCGGAATGACTGTTCAAGACATGAAACGGGACTGTACGGCACGAAATTCGACATGTCCAGTTTGTATGCCAAGAGGCGCTGCGCAATTAGCAAGTCTTCGATGTGGTCTATCTTCACAAAATGCAGGAATGCTGGAGGGCTCAAATTGTGATGTGGCTGAAAGCTGAGTCGGAACCTTGAGTTGAGAAGGAAGGAAAGGGAATGGAGGCAACTCAGCCAGTTGCAGTGCTAAAATTTCGGCGCCCATGTCTGTCCTTTCGAGGGATTTACGCTGGAATGTTTGGCGGTTTTTTCTGCCGCTCTGGATGTCGTTTTGCCCACCTAGGTGAAAGCGAACATGATTGTTTTCATCGATCATCATGAGTTTCGAGAGATAGCAGCAACGGGAAAGTAAATTGTGGTATCATGAATTAATTGTACTTCCCACCTAAAGAGTACTGAAGTTTTCTTATCAACCTTGCTTCTCGTCCCATACTCGCGCTAGACGCCCAGTAAATCAATTACTTGTACACCGGAGGACTTTGCTGCTCAGCAACAGGCGGCGCCATAGGCTCATATTGAGAAGGAACCATAGGAAACATCTGGCCGTGTGGCCCAAACACCTGAATCGGGCCATCGTAAGGTCTTGTGGCAACCCTTTTGTGGCAGTTGCCGCAAGAGTAGTGGGTATCTTCACACCAACCTGCAATACAAGGTACGCAAGTAAGACAGACGCAGAGAAGGCAGCACAAGGCGCCGGCGAGCCTGGAATAGCGTTAGTAAGTTTATCCTTGAATCATCAGATCAAACGGCTCACATCTGCATGCCGGTGCTTTCCGTATCCACGACGGTCATCGTCCTTCTCATACAAAACGGGCAGTCGATCGGTTGCGGCTTGTCGCCGAGCATGTGCAGTGGTGTGACGCCTTGAATCATTGGTGGTGCTGATTTCTGGTCGGTTCCCTTCTCTTGCTCTACCGGAGGCGTTGTCGTGGCTGGTCTAACGCCTTGTAAGTAAATGCCGTGAGACTTCATCTTGAACGTGAATCTTACCCTATGTTGTGCACTTCTGCGGGTAGCTCTGTAGCTGGCGCTGGGCTGGCATCTGCTGTTGTGACGACGATTGGACTCCTATCATGGGCCTGCGCTGGCCGTTGAATGGTCGTGGCAGGCGCAGCAGGCGCCTGGACTGTGGCCGGTTGTATTTGTGACATTGTGTTGTTGAACTATGGTTTCGCTTCGAAGAATCGAGTCTTTTCTCAATTGACCAAAGATCGCAATTATAAGTACGCACTTGAAGATGAGTCAAAACACTTGAATTCGAAGGGGTATTTGGGAACACGAAATCGACTCATCATGCGCCTTATGTATCGTGTTCCTCACCGCAAACAGCTTTGCTGTGCCCCCTTGGCGAGAAGCTGAGCCCACAATCCAGGCAGAACTGTGGCATCCAGGGCAAATTGGGTTTGCCAGATTGGCGTTAGGCCGCCTTGGCCAACATAATCCACACGAGCTTATGAGTACCCCTGCGCACAGCTTACATTCGGGGCGTTCTGTTCCTTGCAGCAAAAGTCCTTTGAGCTTAGCTACGACAAGGATTAGAATTGAGTCCCGGGTATCATATTGTGTTGGTGATTGCCCCTTGAGGGGTCTGTGATTAGACGATGGGACGGCAATGGCCCAGCTGCATCCTTCCGATCCTTCATTGGCCTAAATGGCCTGGGTAATGATTCCTGGTGGCATCTCGTCATGTTTATTGCGGTTCATTATGGAGACTTGGTTGCAGCTTCGGCTCTAGGGCAGACAGTATTCCTTCTTTCATTTATATTTCAGTTAGGTATGATAGGTTATCGCCTGCGGGCACATCTTGGTGACTGCCGCATGACCGTGACGGAGAAATATGTGAGTGGTCACAGGGAGACCTCTATGGAAAGACAGCATTCTCAGGTTAGCAAAACAGAGCACACAGCCTAGGAGGACTGAAAAAATAGTACGGTACAAGAGCTGACAGCATTTATTCTTAGCAGTATCCCTATACCAAATACAAATCAATAGCAGAAGTCCAGATTGCTTTCTCGGTGGTGTCGTTTGCGTTCGCCGTATTACCCCAATAAAGTTCACCCATATCAGAGGAGACATTCCAAGCCCCTTCGTGACTATCCCCGTCTACTGTGCTTGTTTCTCAGCCACAGGTGGTGCTGTTGAAGCGTAATGAGATGGTATTGGAGCGCAGCGCTCCCTATAAGGTAAGTAAACTTATTAAGTTTAATTAATTAATTAATTAAGTATAAAGCTATTACTAGTTAATTAAGTTAAGTTTAAGCTTTAAACTTAATTAATTACTTTAACTTTTTTAATAGGGATTATAATATAGATTAAATAAATATTTTATTACTAAATATCCCTACTTTTCCCTACTTTTCTTTATTTATTTTCTACTTCTAATAAGATCCCCCTTAGTAAAGTATAAATTATTTCTTTTTACTTATTTAGTTTCTTCTTTTTTTCCTCTAAACTAATATTATTATAATAAACTTAGTATAATATTTTTTAACTTCTTATTTTAGCTTAAATATTAAGTAATTTTTTTAAAAAGCTTAAAATCTACTTTTTAAGATCTTTTAGAGATTTATATTAAATCTATTATTTTATTACTATTATTTTCTATCTTTATTATCTATTAATATCTTTTAAATATACTATAAAAGTAAGAGTATTATTAATACTACTTTTTTTTTATTTTATTTATTTTATACTAGATATTTATTATATTAATAGTTTTTTATTTAACTTCTACCTCTTTTTTAAATATTTTTAATTAATTTTTAAAGCTTAGATCTATTATATTATAGTTTAAATAAAATAAAAACTATCTCCTACTTAACTATTTTTTATTTAAAAACCTCTTTAAAGTTATAATAAATAATAAAATATATATATAAAAATTAGAACTTTAGAGAAAAAGTATAAAAGAGAAGATAAGCTAAATAAGAAACTATAGTTAGTATTTTATTCTCTATTAGCTAGATAGTTAACTAAAAACTAGTTACTAAGCTTATTATTATTATAATTTTAAAAATAAGTAGATTATTTTTAATATTAAAGTAATTTTATTTATTTTAAAATACTTTAAAAAGAACTATATTAGAGAGATTAAAGTATTATTTATTAACTTAGAAAGCTCTAAAAAACTTAATAATATTCTATATAAGAAATAATATTTAGATTTTATTAGTTTAATAAAAGATTATATAAAGAGTATTTAGAAAGTTATTATTTACTTTATTATAGATATTAACTTTCTCTTTATTATTTATAAGAACTTTATTTTTTAGAATATAATCTTTAGTATTAATATAAAGCTAGAAATATTACTATAGTTTATTATATTAATAATTTCTAAACTTAATAATATTTAGAAATATTAAAAAAAAATTATATAGTAAGAACTTCTATATACTAATTTTAAAATCTATTTAGTTTTTAAGTTATAGATTTCTCTAAATTAGTAAACTATTATAAATATTATTATATACTTTATTATTAGAGAGAAAGGTTTTTAAGTATATTTAATTATTATAAAGAAATAACTTAAGGTTTATAATAGTATTAATTTTATAAATACTCTTAAAGAGGTTATTTAAGATTAAAGTATTATAAACTAAATAAGAACTTTAATTTCTAATAATATAAACTTAAATAATACTTATATAGTAAGTTTAATTTCTTAATTTAACCTCTTTATAAAAAAGAAGTAAAATACTTAAGCTAAAAGGATTTATTACTTTAGGTATATCTTTAACTTTATATTAAAAGTTTTCTTATTTAGTAAGAACTTTAAAAGTTTTAAGAGATAATTAAATATATATATTCTTTTATAGTAAAATAAAGCTAACTTTAAGTATTAATAAAAGATTAACTTTATTAATAAGCTTTATAATATTATAAAGTTTATAAAAGCTTTATTATAATATATATAGAGGTTTAAGAATCTATTTTATAAAATATTAAAAAGATCTAAATAATTTAGTAATATTCTTCTCTCTTAGTAAATATTTAGAAAAATTAAACTAATCTAAAATAATATTATAAAATAGAACTCTATATACTTTATAATTAAATATATAATTTACTTTAAAGATAAAGTAAATAGTTTCTATTTTTTTTAAAATATTAAAGATCTTATACTAACTTAAGATATTTTAACTTTTAATAACTAGCTATAATTAATAGAGATTATAATAATCTTAAAACTTATCTAGAAGATTATACTTTAAATATAAGATTTTAGATAAAATAGTTTATATAATAAACTTTAAGAAATAATTATTACTATAAAGTATCTTCTAAATTACTTTAAGAAGTAGAAAACCTTTTATAATAATACTAATAATAGGAATTCTTAAGATTTTAAATTAGAAAAGTTATAAGCTTTTTTATAAGAAATATCTTAAAGATTTATTTAATTAGTATATTAATAAGTCTTATTATATACTTAAGTATTATAACTATTTTAGAGATAGCTTAATAAGAGCTTTTTATTTACTTATACTTACTAAAAATATATTAATAATATCTCTAACTTAAAAAAGATAAATAATAATAATTAATAATATTTAAAAACTTCTATTAATAATAAATAGAAGAAGCTAAATAAGTATTATATTTTAATAGAGGAGTTACTTCTATATATTACTATATTACTCCTTTACCTTAGTTTTAATATAAAATATATAGAAAAAAACTAATAATCTTCTTATTAATAGGAATAAATATTTAATACTAAGTTAATTCTAAAAAGATATTTTAATTAATAATATCCTTCTAAAGAAAGAGAAAGTATAAGAAATATAAATTAATACTTAGAACTTTATAATCTAAATAATTTTAAATAATAAGTTTAAATAAAAGCTATTATACTTAAAGAAAATAAGGATAATAAGAAGCTAAATAAGTTAGAGAAGTATTTAGGTCTATAGAAATAAGCTAACTATAATCTTATTAATTAGTAGTTTATTTATAAAGAAGAATATCCTTATTTAAATAAATTAGTATTAAGTATATTAGTAATACTTTTATAGTTATCTAACTATAAGAAAGTATTTAGTACTATATCTCTTACTTAAACTTTATAGAAGTTAGTAATAAAAATAAAAAAGCTAGAAATACTATAATATATAAAGTAATAATATAAGAGAGGTATAATCTTACTACTTAGTAAATCTAAATAGCTTCACTTAGTAATTACTTATAATTAATTAGTAATTAATTAAGTATAGTATTACGATATAGTAATTAAGTTAAGTTTAAGCCTTAAACTTGATTAATTGCCTTGGGGTGGGCGCTGTTGGAGCGTAGGATTGTGGACTGAACGTCTGAATCGTGCTATTATACGGCCGTGTTGCAACCTTTTTGTGGCAGCTGGAGCAGGCATAGTGAACGTCCTCACACCACCCAGCGATACAGGGTACGCAGGTAAGGCAGACACAGAGGAGGCAGCAGAGGACACCGGCAACCCTGATATGTCTTGTCAGTCCCGAATTCCCGTGAGATCTCACGATCAGTGAATATAGATTAGCACTTACATTTGCATCGAAGTGCCCTCTTTAGTGATAGTAGTCTGTGTTCTCTTCTTGCAAAACGGACAATCGATGGGTTGCGGAGTGTCACCGAGGGCATGTAGTGGCGTTACGGTTGGGGGAGGGGGGAGGGCCTCGATGGTCGGTCCATCGTGCTTTTGACCTGTCCATGGGGTGGATGTCGGCTCGCTAGCGAAGGTCAGTACACATCCTGGGTTTCCGTCGTCGTCTGAGATACAGAAAAAGAAGATGCTTACTCGGTGTTGATCAGGCTAGTCGGCATTTCCTTGGCTGGGGCCGGACCTGTACCCTGCATCGTGGTCGCTATTGACTCCCTGTCGTGAGCTACCGCAGGATGCTGTACCCCGGTGTAGGATGGATCGAACGTGTGAGGTTGTGACATGGCGACTTCTTGTTGGCGATTTACGGCTTGCTAGCGGTTATTGGGTACTGTGTTCAACAACGAAAGAAGAATGGCCCAGGTATAGATGAACGGAAAAGCAGTCGGAACGAGAACAGAATAAATACAAAAGCGAGAGATGGTAGTCTCATTGTTACACCCACAAAAGCTGAATGGGGCACTGTAAGATTTACGTGCATCACTCTAGGCAGAACCGTACCATCAAGAAGTCATTCGGGCGGGCTATCATTGGCCCCTAGAAAGGAATGATTTGCATTGCACTGCGAAATGCCTTGCGGCACAGCCTTACAGGCAGGTCTCAGACACGAGAAGGGTTACTACTGAAGGTGAGTGTGGCCAAGATTAGAACTGCTACAACCAAAAAATGCCCCATCGTTTGGCATGCATGGGCAGGTGGTTGGTCGCTATTTGTCCGAAGCTCGGGTAGTAATAGCTTAGGTGTGCTTCGCCTCTTCCTCCCTCTGTATTGATGCAGCAGGGGTTGGAATGCGTCTCTGTGATTGCCCAGCCTTATTGTGACCTCTGGATCCTCTGGCAATCCACGTCAGCACAGCCCCTCGACGTAGGACTGCTAAAGACGTACATCATCAGATGGTAGATGAATCATCCCTGGGCCTTGAATATGGATATGACGAGTATTCCCGTCGCCAGAAAAAGGGAAAGAAAAACCATCTTAAGAACGACATGTCTTCCCGATTCAAGCCTAGATTCGTTCCGCCCCGTCAATCGGAATTTCGAAATTACCCAAACGACCAGGTCAATGTAGCAGGAAGATGCGATTAATCAAAGCTTCATCAATCAACTCCGAAGGGCCACTCATTGAGTTGGTCGATTTCACTCCCGACAGGATTCCACGCTATTCCATCCTTTCGCATACTTGGGGGTCTGATGAAGTTGTCTATGCCGACATCAGAAACCATACAGCTGCGAGGAAACACTCGTTCGAGAAAATCCGCTACAGCTGTCATCAAACGATTGCCGATGGGTTTGAGTACGTCTGGATTGACTCTTGCTGCATCGATAAAAGCTCCAGCGCAGAGCTTTCAGAGGCCATCAATTCCATGTTCGACTGGTATGACAAGGCCGAAGTGTGCTACGCATATCTTTCGGGTATCTCGTCTACGGTTGACACTTCGAAAACGGACGGCGATTTCGCTGGATGTCGATGGTTTACGCGAGGGTGGACGCTGCAAGAACTCCTAGCCCCCGATGATCTAATTTTCTTCTCGGACGACTGGGTCAAGATCGGCGAAAAGCTGACGCTGAGTCGGCCGCTTTCGGTAATCACCGGCATTGAAGAGGATATCCTCAAAGGTACCAAGCCGATTGAATCCGCGAGTATAGCCAAAAGAATGTCCTGGGCATCCCATCGCATAACCACAAGGCCAGAGGACGTCGCATATTGTTTGATGGGTCTTTTTGGGGTCAACATGCCAATGCTCTATGGCGAGGGCGACAGGGCTTTTTTGCGCCTGCAAGAAGAGATCATGAAACAGTCCGACGATCAATCGCTGTTCGCGTGGGTCGATCTCTCGGCATCGACCGAGACTTACCATGGTCTCTTGGCCAAAACGCCCCTGAACTTCGAGTACTCCAACTCCATCGTACCATACCAGGACTGGGAGCCTCGGCCGCCATATAGCATGACCAATCGCGGCTTGCGTATTGACCTGCCTTTGACGCTCAGGGGCGAGGAGCTGTTCGCTGCTGCGTTGGACTGTCCGGCTCCTCCAGACTTTGAAGATTCAAGCTTCCTGGCGATCTACCTGAAGCGTATCTCACATAGCGATCAGCAGTTCGCCAGGGTAAGGGCGAATCAGTTCGCCAAAGTCCAAGAACGAGGTGACCGTCTAGTCCAGGAAAGGGGAAAACGACAGACGATTTTCGTCCGGCAGACTTTCAATGGCGTTATCAGTTCAGAGGGCGTCTTTCCTCAACACGTCTTACAACTACGATGTGGTCCATCGACCACAGACTACACCTTAAACGAAGTCATCACCTCGGAAGAGCACAAAAAGGACAAGCCCAAGGCCCTCATGTCTAGCAGGACGCGCGGGTCTGATTGGCTTCGGACTGCCAACGGACAGACCATTGCATTTCGAAGTCCGAAGGCTGGGAGTCAGCTTGCGGGTGCGGTGATTTTCTCAATCTCCCAATTCGAAGGTTCTAGGCTTATGATCATGTTCGGGTCGGCCAACAGTGGGAAGGCTGGCTTCCATGCAAAGGAACTACCTCCTCGGGAAGAACTTGTGGGATCAACGGAGAAAGGATTGACTGAGGAAGAAGTGATGGACTTTGAATCGCTTCAAAAAGTCTTCAAGCCATCTCAAGCGGGCAACGATGTTGAGCTGCAATTCCACCGGGTGCGAGTTTCCATCGAGCCCATAGTAGCGGACGCCTGCAAGTACTTGATGGCAGACATACTTGTTGAGCCCATCAACCGACCATGGGACCCTTATCAGACAGTGGACACTGTCATTGGCCAATATCAGGCTGCAGTCGGCCGTCAGAACCGAGTTGAAGCCGTTGAAGCGTCAGAAATGACCGGATCGAGGAACAAGAAAGTTTCCGCTTGGAAGAGACTTACGGCACGGGTATCTTGAAAGTGGGTGCTTTGGAAGCAGCTGCGTTTGATTCAGGTACTACAAATGTCCAAAACAGACAGCAAATAACGGGGGGTCTGTGATTGGTTACACCAGGACATCTCAGTTTTCATGATGAATCCAATAACAATAATTATTTTCGTTGGTACAGAGTTCCGGAGACATATGAAACAAACAGGGTATATTTGGCCTTTTAGTTGTGCTTTGGTCTACTCTCTGGCAAAGCTCTGTTTTTGATTGTCCTTTGCAACTTTCAAGTGTCCGCAGTAGGTTCCGGGGAGTTCTCAAAGTTGTTGAGTTGGAACAGAAAGTTAGACGAGTCATTGTCGCCTTTGGCAAGGATCGGTACCGTGCTTCTCTCCAGGGGCAGCTCGGTAGCCTGCGAACGGATTAGAACCAAATCTGTGAGCATAAATTGAACGGTGTCTAACCTTCTCCACTGCCGCTGAATCTAGACCTCTTTGCCTCATGTCTACGGCCAACTGAATGGCCATGGACCTCGTCACTGGATTGCCCCACGTCTTTGCGGCTAGAATCATGAGTCGAAGTGTGAAATCAAGATTGTCTTGTCGCTGGTAGTCTGGCTCTGTCGATGCCGGTTGATCTAGAAATACCAATGACGCCATGTACATGGAAAAGGTCAGCATCGGGTTTTTCAGCATGTCGTTGACATCTGGCATCATCCTCAAAATGTTCAGAATCTCCTCAGCCGCGGCGACAAGCCTGGTCCGGCATTGGCGAATCATGTGGTGGGGTGTCCCAACCCTTTCGATTGTTGACAAAGCTGCTCTGTGAAGAAAAATAATCGAAGTGTGAATGATGATATTGACGAAGGTCGCATTCTGACAACGTATACTGTTGGGTAGTTTGAGATCATCTGGAAGACAATTGAGGAGAGAAGCGAGGTCGTTGTCAATTTCGCGATGGCGCTTCCAGTGCAGACTAGTTTTGATGTCCTGTGCCTCCTCATCTGGAATGTTCTGGGACGACTGTTGGAATGCTTGATAGAACAACGAGGAAGCAAGAACTCTTCCAGCAAATGAAGAAAAGTTTTGCCCTTCTTGGTTCAGAATGCTTGTAAGAGGGCCCGTGAGTTCTTCTAGGCCTGCTTCAAAGGCTTTGTCGGAAGCAGGAAGGCGAGTGTGGATCTTTCGGAGTATCAGTACGGAGTAAAGTGACACATGGTAAGCTATTCTGGAGTCTTGAGGCAAGCTTACGTCATGCTCATTGATCATTGCTGGCCAGCCTGTGCTGCCGCATACCAGTCTATCAGAGCAATATATTACCCACCACGTCCTCCGTCTCTCTTCTGCTTCTACCCAGTCTCGTGGCGGTGAGAGTAAGGGTATCGCATCGACGCTTTGCCCATCCACACGATGCAAGCCAAGCATTTGGGCAATTCTAATTGCTCTGCAAAGGCTCATTGAAGACTGTGCAAAGAAGAGTTGCTGAGCTTCAAAGTTCGCAATCAAGCTCCACGCTTGTGCATGGGCCACCGATGTGAAGTGCTGTCCGTCTCCCTATGGCTTTCAGCGGTTTATCTTTGGACTCAAGGCGGGCATCAGGACCTACCCTCATTTCATCGGCTTGCATGTAAGCCCTGGCTCGTTGGTAAAATGGAATTGCTAGCTTGCGATGCGTCTTGGTGATGTCGGCCCCGAGAGCCATGACGATATATTGAAGACACATGGGTGGGCGCATGTGAGGCGGCAAGTGTAAAGACATTGAGTAACGAGCGCGCTGGAACATTGGTGCTGCAAAATACCACTTGTCGAAGTAGACATTTGTTCTATCACTGGTCAGTCGATTCGGTGAAATTTGCAACAGTTACTCACAGAAAAACGATCAGTTCCGGCGGCGGTTGTTGCTCAAATAGCCCGACTGACACCAAATCTGTGAAGGAGTCGTCTGGCTGAGACGGGTGTTGGCCCGGGGTTTCACTTGATGACTGTGATGTGTATGGCTCAGTAGTGCCAAACATGAACTCATCATGTACCGATTGAAATGGTTGTTCCTGTTGGAAGGTTTGCTGCTCGTGACTTTCTTCGGTTAAGGGAGCCTTTTTGACAGCTCTCGCGAGCTGTTCAAGTTGATCTGCAAGGTGTTAGGCACTGCACACAAGCTGTCGAAGGCTTCTCATTGGCTGGAAAAGGATCACGTAGGAGTTCGTTCCTCCGTCTCATGTCGACGAACCATCGCAACTGGGGTGACTGACCTAGTTTTGTTTCCAACTCATGAACTCTTTTGCGTCTGTCCACATTTGCACGTCTTGACTGAGGATATTCGCAAGTGTCTCCAAGCCTGACGCATCGGCCGCAACGGGGCCGTACCCGATCGCATTTCAGCTTTCGTGATCGGCATTGGTGGCACGAAAATAAATTCGCAGACGCGCTGTCGTCGGTAGCTCGAGATGTCGACTTTCCGGCCTGGCTACTGCTTTGCGGCTCCATGCTCGAGATGACGCCCCGTCAGTGATGCATGTCAAAAAGATTGCCGCAAACATCGCTTCTTCATGGCTGGAATCCCCTAATCATCAAAAGAATGATTACATAAGTCAAATTCTTTACACACACGAGTAATGCGCTAGATTACGTTCTACGTAAAGGTCTCTGCCTACTTAGCTGTATTTGAATCTCATTCGCCGCATGCGTAAGCCGGCCTCCGATGAAGTGCGAGCCGGACTTTTCGCGTAAAAGCCCCACGCCGACCGAAGCTCGGCCAATCGCGCCGGAATGCGAGACCGAAAGCCCCGTAGTTACCGGCCGACTCCCCCACGACCCGGCATCGTGAAGAAAACTGCTGTCGGTGGTGCCTGCTCAAGTAACCAAGCTGAGTTCCTTTGTGAGTTAGGAGTGGATCGGCTCAATGGATTTCTTAATATGTCTCCATCTATCATCCCAGCAACCAGAAATGTCTCATTTTCGGATTGGCAGTTAGGTGGTTTTCGTAACGAGTCTGCAACAATAGATGGAGTCTCGGTCCTCTCTTCGCCTCAAGAAACGTCTTCTAGATGCGCTGTCTCGAGCGAAAGGCGTCCGATGCGTTTTAAAGGATGGTTTATACGGCAGAGACGGAGCTCCGAGTTCATCAGCGACCTCGGAACTCCGGAACGGCAGAATGATCATTGGACGAAATAATCACGTGTAATACATAAATATTAGACTTGGGTCCGAAAGAAGACGCTTCGACGGCAGGAAGGCCACGGCTTAGACCTGTGAGGAATCACGTCAACTCAATGCAACCGCAGCCTGTTTCGCGAGCCCAGAGGCTCCGCTTGGAAATGCCAGCAGCTGGCCATTGCTCGATTTCTGTTGAAATCACTTGCCACTGTTGGTTAGCGATGAATTGAAATCAAGGTCAGAGCATCACGACGAGGCTATGTTGTTGCGAACAAGCCGCGCTTATCGTCATCTTGATTGATGCAACAAGCATTGCAGTCAAGTCCCGACAATGGCTCCACAATGCTCGTCCGACGACTTAAGGTTATCCTTCTTTTGGGGCTTCTTGCGCAGGGTCTGCTATGCTTAATTAATTTAGCGATTTCTATCTGCCGCTGCCCAATTCCAATTGCAGTCTAAACAGCGAATCTGTGCCTTGCATGCCACGATGCAACATCTGATGATTTAGTGCACATTCGCGCATGGCCTAGCATCGCCGGAAAGGACGAGAACGAACATGGTGTTGAGAGCACCCGACTTTGTCCGTGAGACTGTTGACTGTTGACTTTGGAGGCACATCCTTCGGGACCAATAATGGTGTGATGAGGGGGTCAGACGAGAACTGTTCTGACATCACACGCCGGTTTCCATCCCAACCGACATGCCATCATGTTCGCAGGAACCCAAGGTTCTCATGAGTAATGCGGGGTTTTCGATCTAGACCCTATCGGCCGAGGAAATTTTCTTTAGCTTATGAACGTAGGCGAATGCTCAGCCTTCCATTGGTTACCTCCAATTCCTCCCGTCGGGAATCGCGTGTAGAGAAATGGGATCGGCCGGGAATGCTAGCCTTCAAGACCTTGAACATGCATCTCAGCTCAGTAAGCCAAAACCTAGGTTTATGTTTAGTCACAAGTCCCAATCAGTTGGCATAGCCCCGTCCAACCACTCGGCGCCGTGAGAAGGCTCTGATCATTCATCGGAGGTTGGTGAAATCAGACTTCACGTTCCCACCGAGGCTTCCGAGGCTCAACAGCATCGTCGCGGGGCCCCGTGGTTGAGACGTCGGGGCGTCATGCCGACGGGGCCGGAGTGGGTTCGGGCGGAGGAACTTCCCATCGACCGCGGCAATGACGCAGATCGGGCACCCATACGATCGTCGTGAAGTCTTGTGAGTTGCCGAAGCAATTGATGATGTTGATGACATAACACATCCTCCCAGATCCCTCGGTGTGACTTCACCATCCGAACACTCATAATCGGGCAGTTGTGTGTATCGACGCTACCAGATTCCCGGATAGCCACGCAGCAGAGTCACAAAAGTAAGGCGGACAAGTGGAGACGAGATGCGGCCGTATGCAACCCCGTTGCGCCACTACCCATCGCATCTAAGCAAGGATCTCGGGCAGTCCCATCTAGGCAGAGTTCCTGCCAGCCACCACGATCGCATTACCAGATCGAGTAATGGTCGAACCTTCTAGGAAGCCGGAGAATACCAGTTGGGCAGACGCACTGATGTAATGGTCCGGGCGGGGTTGGCCTACTTCACATGTCCTTCACGATATCGCCGAAGCGGTCCGAGGCATTGTGGTGGTGCGGTCCCTCAAAAAGCCCCGACTTCTTGGAGGCCCATCCCCGTCGCCGATCGCCCATTTGACGTCTCGTCTAAAGTAACAACTGCCGGCACGTCACTGGCCTTCGATCGAAGCGAGGCTTGGTTAGCGCCGAAGACCCTGTATCTTACCAAGAAACCGTCTCTTCATCCCAACTTCTTGTTGGTGGAAGCAGCGGCACCTGTCCACCAAGATTATGCCATCCACGTTGACAAGGCTCCCTTCCATCGCGGACCCTACGGACTTTCTACAATAGCGTTCTCAGTCTCCTCTTTTGCAAACCCAAAGTGGAAGGCTATTGCGAGAAATACAGGGTATCAACAGACGTCATCCACTGACATTTACGGGATTGACAGCGGATGCCCCGTCATTCGGGGGGCATCATGGCCTCTGCGCAGGCGTGCCGGGCTGCACGGCAACCATGCAGCAAAACGTAATCGTATTCGCAGAACAGAATGGAATCATACGTTGAGGAGGGTGCAGATACAGTCGTGAGAAAGTGTATATAATGATCCTCTTAAACCCGGTGGTTTCCTCTTTTGAGATCATTATCAACAACAACAACAAACACATCCTCAACCACAAACATTTTACAACCTACCAATAAGCAACCAACAATTTGTACACTTCACCTCGGCAAGGCCAATACCACAACACCAAAACATCAAAATGCGTTTCTCCGCCGTTCTCGCCATCTTCGCTGCTTCCTACGCCGCTGCCATGCCCGTAGATGCCAAGCCAGACGCTGGCAAGGGCGGAGACATTGCCGCCTGCGAAACGAAAGCAGCTGCTGATCAGGTTGCTTGCATCAACGGTTGCGCCAAGGACGCCGCATGTATCACTGCTTGGTAAGTCTCACATATCCCCTCTGCCACCTTAACAAAGCGGACTGGAAGTCTAACAAAATCTCCAGCACTTCGGTGGCCGTGCAGCAGTACACCTCATGCGCCGGTGTGTAAATGAGAGAGAGAAAGACATAATGAAGACTTGGGATAGACTGATTCACAAGCGGCGTTGAAGTCCCTAAGTTTGCATGGGACATGATAAGACCAGAGCGTTGATGAATGAATGACTCAACCTGTACAATACACTTCACAATTGAAGATACTTTTCTGCATCTCAATGACAGTGGCATACGTGCGACTCAGCAAACGCAAAAACCCCCGCTTATGCCTTGCATATGACATGACGATCTTCACCGCTACTTGCCATGTCCAAGCCGTGGTAATTCTTCCTGGCTATCTGCGGAAGAAACCGTTGCGGACTCTCGCTATTCAGGTCCACCTGCGGCAGTAACCGGGCACGTCATCCAAGTAGCGTATGTAATTGCTGAGCAGACTACACATACGTGAAACACTTCCACAATTCATTTCTTCGCTTGTATTACCTGATTCTTTAATCTCCCGGGGCATATAGGCAACATCTCACAACGCCGTCAAAATACTGCAGAATCTAGGTGACTGAGTATGTTGGAAAGATCCAATTGAAGAATTGCTACGGGCGAGGTCCTGAGAAACTGCTCATCTAGTGCAATAACAGACGGCTACCAAGCCCTCGGCCAGCCGAAGTGGCTTGGATCTTGAGCTGTATTTTGTGCAAAGGTAAAATGCAGCTTTGTCTGTGTCTTGAAAAGAGAATAGTGCGTGTCGTCTAGCACGCGACCAAATAATATTTACTTGTGGTGATCCGTATATTTGGAGGACTGGTCAAGTACCGAAAGACCTACGTTGGTAGCATCGCAATTTCTTTTTTGGTTATAGGCGAAGTGAAGTCATTGGGACGTGCTCCGATCGGGTTGTAGGATGGCTCTTCTCTAGACAGTGGGAGCCCACGGACACATGACCGCACATGTGTCTCTGAATGTCCTCGACGCCAATACAACATCCTCAGCATGCTTTTACGGGACCCAAAGAAAGTAGTCGAAAGAGGCTAGGAATACTTCATCAGTCTGAGCAAGACAATGCGCTCTCTGCTCTGCGTTTTCCCGGTTGGTAAAGATCTGCTCGTGGGACAACAGACGTAACTCTTGTAAAAAATGAGAAGAGTTTGAGAACTCGAACAACCTTTGAGTATTTCATGTACTCATTATGGCCTGAATCCAATTCGACTTGCCACCCCGGCTACTTCAAGCAACGAATCTTGCTATTTGGGGACATACCCGCATAGGCTAAAGTGACAATAACGTGACAACCACAATGTCTTGACGACCAAAGGGTCGTAAATCCAAACGTACCGCCATGAGAAATTCCTTGGCTTAAATTCCAGACGCGCGGGATGAGAAGCCGTGAAACTCACAACAGCCTCACTATTGCCATGAAGACAGCAATGAGAAGGACACAACGAGAATTAGTTAATCTCGCGACGGCGCGTTACAGGGGACTAAAACTTAGCGCGACAGCTAAGAGCGCTGGTGTTGGTGGTGGCCTTGAGTCTTGAGTGCAAGAAATTGCCACCTTCAAGTCAGCGATGAGAATGAGCTGCAGGTAGAGATCAAATATAGTGCTCTCAGTTCAAGTTCAAACACTTTAACCTGCTCATCAACAAATTGTAAAGCAATTCATAGACTCCGCTGAGCTGATGAGTCAGCTACTTGCAAGGATCATATTGAGAGACAGTTATCGGGCAGGGTCTCAATCACCAGATAACGGACCATATGACGGCAAAAAAGTCCAGTCAGCACTGTATTAGTGGCACCGTGCTTAGCGTGAAGTAGCCCCTGGAATTAGGTACCCACTGTACACCGATTATTGGACAACGTGCACAGTTCTCATTTAACCTAGTTTGGCATCGTCGCCTACAATTTTCCTCTCTTCACTTCAACATACCCTGCGACTCGACCATGGCCTCAATCGCAGCCAGATCGATATCCGAAGCCCGCCTTGTCGACTCGGTAGTCGTCGGCGGCGGGCCAGGTGGACTCGCTGCCATTGGCAACCTGCTTGAGCATCGGCCGCAGCACCGCCAGCTTTGGGTCGATCGACTTTTTCAGGCTGGTCGGGTTGGGACTTCCTATCGCCAGGTTCCCAGCAACACAAAAGCAGGCCTATTTGTCGACTATGCGAAGGCTGTGGCGCCCTTTCGCCAGATTTTGGAGGCCACAGAGGAACCCAACGCGTTCACTACACTTCAGCAGCTGCAGCAGGACCAAGGTTGTGAGCTCAAGCATGCGGCAGACCTCTGTTTGATGCTCTCCAAAGGCATTCCTCGTCATTTCCAGAACGTAGAGCAGCGCCGAGCCAAAGTCACATCCGCCATTCTGAACAAGGTGCGACCCACTCACTCAAAATCTAAATGAATCTCACTCACCTATTTTTGTAGCAAACAAGAAAATGGACAGTTGCTCTGGATGGCAAGGGATACGCACAGACGTCGAAACTTGTGCTGTGCACTGGTTCCAATCCGATTTCACAGCCCCAGCTGATGACGGGGGGATTGCCGGAGAACCTCGTGACGGTGCACCTGGATGCGGCTTTGAGACCGTCATCTTTGGGTTGGAGGATACCCTCTGATGCCACAGTGGCTGTCGTGGGTTCCTCTCATTCAGCTGTTCTGGTTCTCATGAATCTGTACAACCTTGCGACGACGTCACACCCGAACCTCCGTATCAAGTGGTTCACCCGCCACAACGAGTTGCGCTACGCCGAGTACAAGGATGGATGGATCTTGTACGACAACACGGGTCTCAAGGGCCAAGCTGCGCTGTGGGCTCGTAACAATCTTGAGGAGCGACTGTTCGGAAAAAGCTCTGTCAAGAAGTTCATTACCAAGGTTTTGACGCCACCGGAGGAAGAGCAGGCCGTGTATGCGTCTGAGCTTCCTGGTTGCACCCACCTTATCCAAGCTATCGGCTTTCAACGAAACCCTCTACCAGACCTGGGCGTCGTTGAAAAGGCTGGTGCTGAGACGCAACCGTTGTCCGTTTATCATGATGCTTCTAACGGAAGATTCTCTGCTCAGCCTGTCGAGGCCAGTGCTAAGGGTCGCACTTATATTCCTGGGCTCTTTGGGGCTGGCATAGCTTTCCCGGAGCGAGTGGTGGATCCCGCTGGCAACGTCGAAGATGCTGTTGGTTTCTGGAAGTTCATGACGTTCCTCAAGAAGTCGGTTCCCGACTGGATTGAGTCTTCGAAATAAATACAGCATCACCATTGTACAGTAGCTCTCTCGGTTCATCCTAAAGAACACCAACATAAAATCCTAGATTTGAAATCAGTCAGACGAAGAGGCCGAAGACAATACAACATGTCTGTTACTTGTAATGAAGCAAGTAACAGCGTGGAACATTCATTATGTCCCATCTCCACTGATTCCAGGTTTGTGAACATCTCAAACTTCCGTGTGCTCGCAAAACATTTCGTTGTGTCTACTGTGTCTCTTTTCGCTATCCCGCAATGCTGTTGCCGCGACGTTACAACGCTCCATATTGCCCTTCATAATAAGCACAGCCTTAGCCGACAACATCTATGGCGCGCTGATTGGCGCCGCTGTGCAAAAGTCCCAATATGGCAGTAATCGGCTAACCAATTGCCCTCGCCGAGCAGTCCCTGCCAACCACCTCAGATAAGCCCCGGAATAAAGTGACAACCCTCCGGATTGTTGGAGATGCGATCCCCGAATTCCACGATGGAGGCCGAACAGGTCATTCTGGAGCGACTCATCATCCTCCCAAGAATATGGCTTGGCCCATATCTTCGACACCCACGGGTGCCGTGTTCTTATCTTTGGACTTCTGCAATGCCATACTATGCATCCTTCCCCGCGTCTTGGCTATCCTAGCCCTGTTGGCCAAATTCGCCGTAAAAGTTGCTGAAGGCTCCCCGCCATCTAAGGGGTTTACTTGGACGCCATATCGGTCGATCGCACTGGAGCGCCTGGTTTGTTTCGTCGAATACATGATCGGGATATTAATTCTTTCTGATTGATTCACAGGTCCCATTGATTCTGATATTCACTGCTCACGTAGCTTCACTCATCCTTTATTCCATCTCTGGAACGAACCTGGGAACCATCCGCACCGGAACTACCCTACCAAGCCATGTCACAGAGATTACCTGCACGCTGATCATTCTCATACTTTACACCAATAGTCGAAAACGATCACACTTACTAGAACTGCTTCTCCTCGGGTTCGCGATTCTAGACAGTTTCAGACTCGCAACACTATGGACTGTCCTAACTGACCATGGGTTCGCGCCAATATCTACGGCCATAGTGGCTATTCAAACGACAGCGACAGTCTTCTATGCCGTCTCTGGGTTCGTGATATCGTGTTTGGGTGGCGCTTCCCCTCAGTCAGACACGATGGCGAATGGGCATGCTCTTTTCCCATCAAGAGAGAAGGAAGTAAGCTTTGCCAGCCTAATGTTTCTGGGATGGCTCGGCCCGCTTCTCTCGGCCGGGAAAAGAGGAGATATTTTGCAAAGCGACCTAGAACGCATCGAAACCCACCCAACCTCGGCCTTCTTCCCATCGCCCGATGCACATTCGAAGAAGGATGAGGACCGTTCTTTTATGAGGCAATTGGCTCGAGATACTTCCCTTCGAACCTACCTCTTGTTCGTGTTGGCCATGATATTAGCTGCGTTGACAGCAGCGACTACACTTTGTCAACCGATTATAATTGGCGCTTTAGTAGCCTTTCTTCAGACTGAAACCCACACCTCCGTCGGGTCGTGGCTCGTTGTCGCTCTGTTCATTGAGTAAGTTGCCTAGATTTCAATGCGATTCCCAGTTCTGGGGTCACCAAAAGTGTTGAATCAACAACTAACTTGAACCACAAGCTTCACTCTTCTCAACATCCTCGTTGCACAGAGTACTCATATTGTCGATCAAGTATCATTCCGCATTCGGGCTTACCTCACCTACCGCATTCACCTCAGATCTCTAGAGCCAGCAACATCGCGGACGACCACCTCCAGCGACTCCGAGAGCGCAAAAGTTACCGTGCTGGCAAATGTGGACGTGACTCAAGCCGTCTTTGTTCTCAAAGTAATCCCCGACGTTATCACAAGTACCATCATTGTAGGTGTTGGCGCATATCTCTTGTACAACGCCGTCGCCCTGGTCTTCCTCGGACCTCTGCTCTTGGCTCTCGTGAGTGTCAGTGTTCCGATAGCCCTCGGGAAGAAATTGACGAAAAGTCAACGCTACGCTCTCGAGGCTACCGAGCGTCGTATCCGTTCCGTGGGCCAGCTCATAGAGCAGACGCGGAGCATTCGCATGGCTGGTATGCAGGCTATGGCTGAGAAGGAAGTGCTTGAAAATCGCCAGATCGAAATAGAGGCCATGTCTCTGTACCGGAAATTTCTGATCGGGGTAGTCTTTGCCTGTGAGTTCATGGATTTCCTAAAGGCTTCAGGCATCCCTGACTGACCCCCTACTAGCGGACTCTGTGAACGGTCTCTCACTTCTGGTGACCTTTGGCATCTACGCAGCCATCAACGGAACAAATTTGGACTACTCAACTCTATTTACAGCTCTGTCGGTTATTTCGATCATGCTCGGATCGTTTCCTACCTTCATCCAGATGCTTCCGGCATTGTACGAAGGCGTCGTCAGCTGGGGTCGCATAATAGCCTACGTGAAGCCCAAAGTCAGGTTGGCTGAAAGGCATAACGACGCTACAGCTGCCAACGGGCTCATTCACTTCGAAAAGGAAGCATCTATCTTAGCAAGATTTTCCGAAGCGTCTTTAGCGTGGGGCACTGGAGCAATCATCAATGACGCCTCCCTCACTATTAAAAAGGGAACAATGACTGTAGTCACGGGCAGCTCAGGCTGCGGCAAGTCAACCATCTTGAAGTCTCTTGTGGGAGAGGTTCGCATCTCCGCAGGCACGATACAGTTGGGCACAAACAAGATTGCATTCTGCGACCAGTCTCCATACTTCTTGGCCGGCCGTACTGTCCGCCAAAACATCATCTTACAGCGCCCCTTCGACGGTACACTTTACTCAGCTGTTCTCAGCTGCTGCTGCCTCCGGCCCGATATCTCTCGGTGGTCAAGCGGTGACGAGACCATCGTTATCGACAGCGCAGGGACCTCTCTCAGTGGAGGTCAGAGGAAACGATTGGCCCTCGCACGAGCGCTATATCATGGAGCAGATCTTTTGGTCCTCGATGACGTCTTCACAGGGCTTGATGCCAAGACTGCCAGAGAGATCAGTACAGCTCTGTTTGGCCCGCGGGGTTTTGTCACCGAAAGAAGACAGGAAATGGCTGTCCTGGCTGCTATGTCTCTGGAAACGACAATGATACCATCAAGTTTCGCCCATGAAACACTCTCGATCGTGGAAGGAATGCTTCAACGGACTGAGGCAATTGAAACTGACCAACATCCATCAGTCATAGACTTGGAGGGACCCTCTACAGTCGAAGATAACATTGACTCAATAACCCACTCTCAAGTACACGTGGAGGCTGAAGAAAAGTGTTCATCGCCGGAAAACGGCAAGGTAAAAGCTCTCCCAACAGAAACCCCACCAACGGTCCCCGATGCCGCTCGGTCGACTCGAGTCAAAAAACAACATTTTGTGATGCGCGACTTCGGGAAATACATGACGTCGTTTGGGATATGGAATCTTGCAGTCTCAGTAACAGCAACATGTGTTGTGTCCGGCATAAACAAAGCCAGTCGTACGTTTTCTTCATGCTTCTGGGTCCATCGGGCTTTCACGACACTAACGTATTGAGCGATCGTGCAACAGCATTCTTTCTGTCGTATTGGACAGGGAAATATCAAGCTGGCGACTATTCGAGGCCCCCTGGCTTCTACATTGGGATGTATTCTCTCATCGTTGGTTCGGGGCTCATCGGCATCCTTGTAGCCTGCGGGTGAGTCCGTCCAGGGAGTCTTTCCAAGACCGGCAGTTAACCGAGCTTGGTTTTTCAGTGTGTTTTTCCTCCGCATGATACCGCAGTCTGCAGTCTCAATCCATAGGGATATGCTCGATGTCTTGGTCAGGTCAGCAGTCTTAACATGGCTCTCTGTTGTCCATATGTGGTCCTAATATCAAAGTTCTGCAGCTCCTCCGCCGGCTTTCTCGAGACGAATAGCGTAGAAACTCTCAATAGGTCAGTTACAATCGACGTTTTGCGCAGTCCTCTCCACGTCATCTCCATCTGCTCACGGACGTTCAGGTTCACGAACGACGTCAATGTCCTTGACCTCGCCCTTCCTCTGGCTGTTCTCAACTCAACATGGGGTGAGCTCTACAGCATTAACTGTTCAAAGACTCTGACTAATCATGGTGCTCCTTTTTGAAAGCCATCGCCGCCGTTCTAGCATCCATGGGGGTACTTGCTGCAGGTTCTGTCTACACTCTGATCAGCCTCGCAGTCTCTCTTTTTGTCCTCTACTTCATCCAGCGCAGCTACCTAGCCACCTCTTCACAACTTCGGACTCTACAAATTGCTTCACAGGCGCCTGTAATCGGAACTTTGCGAGCAAGCTGTGACGGACGTGCGACGATTCGAGCCTTCAATCTGCAGGACAGCGCATCCAGCACTCTGGTCAATCAGGTCTATCAGGCCAGCAAATCAGCATATCTCTTTCGATCCCTCCAATCTTGGCTTTTTCTTGTCATAGGACTTCTTGGGGGTGGGGTCGCTGGAACGCTGGCAGCCCTGCTGGTCGGGCTGAAGTCCAAGGTCAACGTTGGCTGGGCTGGCGTTGCTTTGGTGAACACAATTACACTAGGATCCGACTTGAAGATGCTCATGAATTGGTTGACTCTTCTCGAAGCACAACTGGGCGTCGTTCGACGCATCAGGGAATTTATTGCGACTACCCCTAGCGAGAACCTTCGATCGGTGAACGCTGCTACACCGCTTGTTGAAGAGCTACCAGGCGACTGGCCCTCTGGAGGTGAGGTGGTACTTCGTGATGTTTCGGCAGCGTACGGGTAAGTCTCCCGACTCAATCACTCACGGAAGACCCATCATAATCATATCTTCCCAGTGATCATACGGTTTTCACCAACGCATCAATCCATATCCAAGCCGGCGAAAAAATTGCCGTAGTTGGAAGAACCGGGAGGTAAGCTTCGAGTGTTTTCAACTTTTTATTCAACCTGGAAGAATTTACTGACTCTTTGAAGCGGGAAAAGCTCTTTGGCTCAACTTCTGTTTGGGCTAATAACAAAAACCGGCGGCTCTGTCCACATAGACGGTGTCGACTTAGATACGGTCTCGCCTCAATTGCTTCGCCAGAGACTTGTCGGAGCACCTCAATTCTCATTCTACAACGGACAGGCTAGCGTCAAGAAAAATCTGGACCCGGGCGACAATCACTCTCCCTCTGATGTTGTGGATATGATTAGACTTATTTCAGTCGGTGTTTCTGACGGTGGCCAACCCGAAGCCATGGTTGACGTCGATCAAGCATGGGAATCTTCTCGGTTCTCTTCATTTGGTTGGCAACAGCGCCTTGGTATTGCGAGGGCGTTGCTGAGAAGAAGTGCTCTCTACGTCATGGATGAGCCTACAAGCGGGTGAGTGTTCCATCGTTTCCCTCTCCAAGGGCCGTGACTAAAATGAACCTGAATAGGATGGATGCTATGACGCATAAGGCCATGATCCATAACATCCTCAGCACCCATCCTAGTAGTACAATGATTATTGTGACACATCATACTGAGGGGTTGGAAATGTTCGACAGAGTTCTAAAGGTCGACGCAGGGAAGATGGCGTGGTGAGGAACTCTAGGCGCGGTTGGCAAACCCACACTTTCACTCGGTGAAAAGGTGATCTCATACAGTAACCACGTCATTTTTCAGAGATATTCACATGGTTGTCCTAGTCAAGCAGGAGTCCTAAGCAATGAAAGATTGTCATTATATACCTCAAAAAGGCCAGTGCCTACAGTAGCATTACAATGATTCGTATCCATTTCCAGCCTTCATATGTCTTTAGACAACTGCCTTTTAGGGTGATTGATAAACCAGACCTGTCTGGAGTCTGGTCGGCTAAGGTCTTACCCCTGACGTTGCTTGCAACCAACTCGGAACTATTTCGCTCCCGAGTTACCGTTTCGGTTGCCCCTGGAAACAATTTCCTCAAAGCAGCATTTCAAAAGTCTTGGCTTTCCTTGCTGAGGGATGATCAGCAGCCCGTTGGCACTTGGCTGTCTTGCGGCTGCAACTCGGCTTCCCCGCCAAAGGTGCCCGGTCCAGTCAACGTCAGTCGGGAATAAGCTTGTTGAGAGCTCTGTCGAGGGGCATCTTGGCAAAGAAGCAACAACAGATGAACCGTTCCACCTTACAACGTCAATTGAGCCATTCCGGCCCTACCGAGGAATACAAACCTGTTTAATCACTCTTTAGAAAGCTACATCTGCCGATCGCGACCTTGTTTAAAAGACTTTACAAATCCCCGGGCTGGGGTTCCATCGGCATAGACTTCTAAATCGAGTCAGTGGCCTGACTAAATATGGCGACCGTATGCGGGGATAGTGTCGCATCTATACTACCGTACGGTAGCGCGCGGGAAGCTCAACTGCCTCTCCGGAACCTACGAGCCGAGATGAACTCAGATAGAGAGCGATGATCGTGCATCCCGATGGCAACCGGTGATGTACTCTCATGCACAGCAGTGGCGCAAGGTATGCAGTATTACGAGAACGAGAGCGGCGATAGATGGCATCGTAAGATTGAGTGTCCGTAGAACGCGATGCTACCTGGTGGGAGGCCGGTGTGTGAACATATAAACTCTCAGAAGAATCTCCGTTCGATAGGCCTTTCTACAGCCGCCGCCACCACCTGTGATCAGTACTTGCAGTCCTTGTCAATAACCACAACTCAGCTTTCGTTAAGTCTTCACTCTCAAAATGAAATTCGCCGCCTTCCTCGCCCCTCTCATCCCTGCCGCCTTCGCCGCTGAGTGCGTCCGCGATGGCGGATGTCCCGGCTGTGGTACCGTCGACAGCGTCAGCTTCTCCCAGAGCGGCAGCACGTACACTGCGACTTCTCCTTCCTACGGCTCCATGACCATGACCGACACGACTCTTTCCGTCAAGAACGTCTCCAACAAGTGGCTTTTGTTCTGCGTGTACGGATCCGTCTGCGTCCCTCTTGGCGCTGGCGACAGTTGCTCCACGTCCCGCCTCTCCACCGACAACCCTACCCTCGGCCTGCAGGTGTGGTCTCAGTAAATAGTACGGCTTTACCAGCTTTCTTTTTATTGCCTTACAAACGTCTGACAAAATGACCAGTGGAGCTAGAAACGGGCTAGTTTCGATGGGAAGAGTTTGGGTAGGCGGACACACGGGTTCCTTTCGAGCAGGTGTGGTGCTTGTCTAGACTGTAGTAAGCCATCACGCGTGGGACTTCATAGATGGCCTTGAAATAGGCTTGTTCGAACTCCTGCAATGGTGCCTGTAATGGCAAACGTGTGGACCTGGGGAGTTTTCGACCTTGAACTGGGGAGTCATTACATCCATAGCAAGCTAGCAAGCATCCATGACCACCAGACGCAATCAATGACAAGAAATGCATAGTCACTTTCAGCAGATCAGATGGCATTCAGTAGCACCCTTCATGCATTGTTCAAATGACGTATATTGCGGCCTTAAGCCTTGGCCTTTGGCTAAGGAGTGGAGAGTTGGCCCTGGTCCTCCACCTCAATGGCGGGTTGCATCCGCACCCTGCATGCCAGCTTGGCGCTATGGCCAACTCATGCTTGAAGCTGGGAGATGTCGTATCCCAAGTAAAGTAGTTGGTAAATATGTATGGATGAATGAAAGTGTCGTTCCTTCTGGTGCAAGTTCCCTGGCTTGCTTCTGTGGTCGTGTTGCGTCTTCCCCGAAGCACCAAAAACCCGTCCCTCCCATGATTCCAAAGTTTGATCTGCCAGTTAAGGCAGGTCATCAACATTTAGTAAAACACTCTTCTCCAATGAAGTGAAACCGTTTCTCCCCATTCGTCGCAACAGTTGGGCTGCTCGCGACTTTGCTTTCTCTGCGGTCGAGAGATCGCGGTAGTTGTGGAAGTTCTCCACGAAATGTTTGCTGGGAAACTCGCTGCGCAGAATGTCAAGCACGGCATCGAAGTTGAAAGGCTCGGCCCATGCAAAGACTCGTTCGCCTTGAACTTCTGGCAGTACGGCGCAGGCAACGTGAAGCCTTGCGGTGTCTTCAACATCAACAAAGTGCTCTAGATTCACCATTAGCTTAATCGCAATATAATGATGCGAAGTGAACGTACGCGGTGGACTACACGCCAGTTGGTCCATGTTAATTCCGTACCACAGACTCTCGACGAATGATGATGTTGAAGGGTGGCCTTGGTTGATAACATCGAGGCTCCTGCCGAAGTTGCAACTAGGCAGCACTTCCAAATCATCAGCAAGCTATTCATCAACAAAGCTGACGGAGAAACTACCTGTGTTGACGACCAAGTCAGGACGGCAGCTTTTGTCTTGGTTGTAGAATTTCCAGACAGCCCTCTCCGCTTCAATCTTGCTTGCCGCATAGACGTGCCATGCTTGGTGCGGATGAGGCTTCCCCCACGCAACCGCAACTGACTCAATGTTCCAGCTTGTTGTTGTCACCTCTTCGCCTTTCTGACCAGGCTTGGGTAGAGCTGCTGCAACCGACGAGCTTGTCAGGACGAATCTCTTGACAGTTGGCGATCTGTTGGCTGCTTTGAGGGCATTCATGGCGCCGTTGATGCTGCTCGGAATGACGCTCTCTGGGTCGGGACTCAAAGATACTGGCGAGGCCACGTGGATGACAGCCGAAACGCCTATGCACAAGTCATTAAAAAGCAACCAGACTGTTCTACTCCAAAAACCAACCATCAACAAGAGAATCAAAGGCCCCCTCGTCCTCCAGGTCCGGCAGAGAGGCCAGCGTGAAGCAACCTTTCGGGTTGTCCCTCTCCATCAAGTCCTCGACCCAAGCGTACTTTGTCGGGTCTCTGACGGTCCCGCGGACATCGAAACCAAGCTGCAGCAGTTGACTGCAGACATGGGAACCGATGAAGCCATTCACACCCGTCACAAGAACGGTAGAGCCCTCTGGAATGCCAAAGCTCCCTTCCGACTGCATGTTGACGTTATTGGCGGTTGGTGATCGTGTGGGCCGGATAGGACGCGGTGGAAGACGTCAAAGGTCTCGAGGTGCAGGAAAGCTGCTCGGTTGCTGTAGATCTTAAGTCGATCATGGCTGTCAAGACCGTCTAGGGTGTCATGAGCCATCCCGGGGAAGACGGCAAGAATGGAAACTGCAATGAAACAGTGGCATGTCAGTTAAAAAACGCCTCAATTCGAAAAACCATTGCAAAGCGATTACTTTTCGTTTCTTTTCGTTTTACCCCGCCACGAGAAATTTTTTATTTATTTTGGATGGAGGGGGGGTTTCGTCTTTGACACTTTTGTGACATTTGTCAAGTGGCTTGAAACGCAACTCGCCCAGAAACCGCTGTCGTTGAGTGCCAAGTGGGACTCCTGAAAATCCCCAAGATGGGGGGCTGTGGGCGACCTTTCAATTCTGACATCGTGTCAAACCCCGCCAACAGGCACAATAAGCCGCGGTGTTTTCTTGACAATTGTCCATGCACGCGATCCAGATCGTCGGTAGCAACGAAAAATCGGGGAAGAATTAATAATTAGAAATCGCAGGTCCAAGGCCTTGCACGAATTGGGCAGTTGGCCGGGAAAGTCGAGACACCAACACGGGAAGCTAGCCAGGATGAGAAACGCGAAACGCAGCAAGACGATCGATAGGAATGACGACGCTGTGATGAACCCCGGGGCAGATCATTTCACTTGGCCAGTTACGAGAATCTCTCTTCGCTCGCGTCTGAGCGCTCGCAAGAAAGAGGCCGCCATTGGAGCGCCTGGCTGCTGTGCCATGGGCTTTCAAACCTTCAGAGAGGGGAACGGGGTCGAAATCACGACATTTTCCACCTGTGGCGCAGATCCAAAATTGGCTTCAGGTTGATCATCCAATCCTGGTTGACAGAAAAAGTGGTTGTTTGAGTCTAATTGGACAGTAGCGGTTGTCGGGGATCCAAGACGCACACACAAGAAATCGTGACCCTCTTCTTGCAGGGCTAAGGCATGACCTCGGGCGGGATCTGGCTCAAGACAAGGCATCCTGCATTTCAGCTCGACTCTTGGGAGTCCGAAGTGTCTCGATGCGGAACCATGTGCCTTATCTCGGCCTAGGCGCGGGTTCCTGAGACTTGATTGACATGTGAGCTGGTCCCGGACGTGTGATAGCACCAGGAATCCTTGACTAACACCGAGTCTTGGGACGAACTGAAAGGACGGCAGCTCTGCATAAGACTCGTCGATAATTGGCACATTGACGGTTGTGAAAATGCCAAATATGTGTCCATTTTACTCCAGAAGACGACAGTCCAAGATTGACAGATTACAATGGACCTACCACCAGGGAGCTCGTTGAGCCTTTTGGAACTAAAGTAGTCAGTCACCGAACTCAACAAATATTTGAGAATAAAGTCTGAAAAACGGGTTTGGAGAAACGTGTCTTGGCTTGAGAACAGCCAAGCTTCTCGGCAAAACGAAACTGGCAAACTACCTCCAACTTGAGCAGACATCAGCATCAGTCAAATTCGCGCGGGGGCGGGTTGCCGTGCCTTCAAAACCAAATAAGAAAAGAGATGACGATCAAAACCAACTTGTCTATTATTGATACACAGTATTATTCGCAACCGATGCTCCCATCTCACAA